AGACAGATAAGAATGCTCAGAAATATATGTATATGCATATACATGCAAATTTAACCTCATAGCAGCAAGTAGAAAACAGATGATGCCATGCAATAAATATTTGGACAACTGGTTAACCATTTGGCAACATTTTTTGTTAATTTCCTATTAAGCACTTTCATTTCTAAGAATCAGTTCCAAAGTGGTTAAGGGATAAATGCCTGAATGAAACTAAAGAGCACAGTAACTTTTGGGAGCACGGAAATCTTGTGCCTATCACAGTAGATTATTTCAGATATGTGTATAACATGTAAACTATGGAACACCATCAGTCTACTTTAATGAAATAGATCACACATATGGGAATGGAACAATACCATATTAAAATGTAAAGAACCACGTTCTAAATCTGTGAGTATTCTTTTACCTATTTTTGAAAATGTGTGAAGAAAAATCTTTTCTTTCACTACTTCTTTGCCTTTAAGAATATTTGGCTGTGTACAATAAAAGAACTTCTGGAGGCATCACAATCCCTGACTTCAAACTCTACTACAGAGATACAGTACTGAAAACAGCCTGATATTGGCATAAGAACAGACAGGAGGACCAATGGAACCGAATAGAAGACCTGGATATCAATCCACACATCTTCGAACACCTGATCTTTGACAAGGAAGCAAAAAATATCAAATGGAAAAAAGAAAGCATATTTCACAAGTGGTACTGGCATAACTGGATATCAACATGTAAAAGAATGAAAATAGATCCATGTCAATTGCCATGCACAAAACTCAAGTCCAAATGGATCAAAGACCTCAACATAAACCGAACCACACTGAACCACACAGAAGAGAAAGTGGGAAGTACACTTGAACACATTGGCACAGGGAACTACTTCCTAAATATAACTTCAGCAGCACAGACACTGAGAGAAACAATTAATAAATGGGACCTCCTGAAACTGAGAAGCTTCTGTAAAGCAAAGGACACGGTCAACAAGATAAAACGACAGCCTACAGAATGGGAAAAAAATCTTTACTAACCCCACATCAGACAAAGGTCTGATCTCCAAAATATACAAAGAACTCAAGAAATCGGACACCAAAAGATCACATAATCCAATAAAAAAAATGGAGTACAGACCTAAACAAAGAACTCTCAACAGAGGAAACTAAAATGGCTGAAAGACACTTTAAGGAAATGTTCAAGATCCTTAGTCATCAGAGAAATGCAAATCAAAACAACTCTGAGATTCCATCTTACACCTGAAAGAATGACCAAGATCAAAAACACTGATGACAACTTATGCTGGAGAGGATGTGGGGTAAAGGGAACACTCCTGCATTGCTGGTGTGAATGCAAGCTGGTATAGCCCCTTTGGATGTCAGTGTGGTGATTTCTCAGAAAATTAGGAAACAACCTTCCTCAAGACCCAGTAATACCACTTTTGGGTATATATTCAAAGGATGCTCAATCATGCCACAAGGACATGTGCTCAACTATGTTCATAGCAGCTTTGTTTGTCATAGCCGGAACCTGAAAACAACCTAAATGCCCCTCGACCAAAGAATGGATAAGGAAAATGTGGTACATTTACACAATAAAGTACTACACAGCAGAAAAATATAACGACATCCTGAATTTTGCGGGAAAATTGATGGTGCTAGAAAACATCATTTTGAGTGAGGTAACCTAGACACAGAAAGACAATTATCACATGTACTCACTCATAGGTGGTTTTTAAACATAAAGCAAAGAAAGCCAGCCTACAAACGGCAATCCCAGAGAACTTAGACAACAACGAGGACACTAAGAAAGACTTTTATAGATCTAATCTACATGGAAAGTAGAAAGCAGAAAAAGACAAGATCTCCTGAGTAAATTGGGAGCATGGGAACCTTGGGGGAGGGTTGAAGAGGGGAGGGGAGAGGCAGGGAGCGGAGTAGTGAAAAATGTAGAGCTCAATAAATATCAATTAAAAAATGAAAAAAAAATATTCGGCTGTCCTTGAACACATTGGCACAGGAGACAACTTCCTGAATAAAACTCCAGTAGCACAGACACTGAGATAGACAATTAATAATGGGGACCTCCTGAAACTGAGAAGCTGCTGTAAGGCAAAGGACACGGTCAACAAGACAAAATGGCAGTCTACAGAATAAGAAAAGATCTTCACCAGTCACACATCTGACAGAGATCTGATCTCCAAAATATATAAAGAACTCAAGAAACTAGTCATTCGGGGCTGGAGACATGGCTTAGAGGTTAAGAGCATTGGCTGCTTCTCCAGAGGTCTTGAGTTCAATTTCCAGCAACCACATGGTAGCTCAGAACCATCTATAATGGGATATGATACCCTCTTTTGGCATGCAGGTGTACATATAGATAGAGCACTCATCTATATAAAATACATAAATAAGTCTAAGAAACTAATCAAAAAACTAAATAATTGAATTAAAAAATGGGGTACAGATCTAAACAGAGAATTCTCAACAGAAGAATCTCAAATGACCGAAGTAAACTTAAGGAATCCTTAGCCATCAGGGAAATGCAAATCAAAACGACTCTGATATATCATCTTATACATTTCAGAATGGCCAAGATCAAAAACACTAATGACAGCCTATGCTGGAGAGGATGTGGAGCAGGAGGAACACTTCTCCACTGCTGGCAAACTTGTACAGTCAATTTAGAAATCAATATGACTGTTCCTGAGAAAATTGGGAATCAATTTACCTCAAGAACCAGCTATACCACTCTTGGGCATATACCCAAGGATGCTCAATCCTACCAAAAGGAAACTTGCTCGACTATCTTCATAGCAGCATTATTTATAATAGCCAGAACCTGGAAACAACCTAGGTGCCACTAAACTGAAGAATGGACAAAGACAATGAGGTATATTTACATAATGGAGTATTATTTAGCTGTTCAAAGCAATGATATCAGAAAATTTGCAGGCAAATGGATGGAACTAGATAAGATCATCCTGAGTGAAGTAACCAAGACCCAGAAAGACAAACACTACTCACTCTTAAGTGGTTATTAGCTGTTAAAGTAAAGGATCACCATGCTACAAATCCACAGTCCTGGAGCCAGGCAACAAGGAGGACACAAGGAGAAACATGGATCTTCCTGGGAAGGAGAAATAGAAGAGATCTCCTGGGTAGACTGGGGACACATGGGGATGGGAACATGGAGGATCGGGCTGAGGGGTGAATGGAGGGGGAGAGTCATTAAAGAAATGACTTAATGGGGGGCATTTTGGGGTCAGGTAGAAACCCGATGCAAGAGGAAATGCACATGAATCTACAAGGATGACCCCAGCTAAGACTCCTAGCAATAGTGAGATAGTCTGAACTGGCCATCTCCTGTAATCAGATTGGTAACTACCCCAAATGTCATTGGAGAGCCTGTGTCCAGTAACTGATGAAAACAGAGGCAGAGATCCATAGCCATGAGCTCGGCTGAGCCAGGGGAGTCCTGTTGAGGAGGAAGGAGGAAGAAGTTAGAAGCCAGAAGTCAGGGTCATCACAAGGGAAAACACAAGCAACTGGCCTGCTCATGGGAGCTCATGGTCTATGGACTATGGTCCAAAGGCAAGAGAGCCTGCATGGGACCAGCCTAGGCCTCTACGTATGTCTGACTTGTAGAACTCTGGTAGTGGGAGCAAGGCCTGTTCCTCTTTGGCTGGCTTTTGGGACCCTGTTTCTAATGTTAGATTGCCTTGTCCAGCCTTAATACAAGCAGAAGAACTTAGTCCTACCTCAACTCGATATGCCATGCTTTGTTGGCACCCATGGGAGGCCTGTTCCTTTCTGAACACAGGTGGAGAAGGGGTGGATTGGGGAGAGGGGGCAGAGGGGAAATGGAATGAGAGGAGGGGGAGGGGAAGCTTCAGTCTGGATGTAAAATAAATGAAAAAAATTAATCTATATAAATGTAAGAAATTAGTCCCTTCCCCCCAAAAAAATTGGCTTAGTTCTTTTCATCCATGCGATTTCAGTGTGAGTACCTATTTATGGCCCTAGCTTTCAAGACACTAGAGGTAAATGTGCTTGGAGACCTCCCTTCTTGCCAGGCTGTCTATAATTTCATGTTATACCTTCCTATATTTCCAAATTACTTTTTGCTTTCTTCTCTCATTTCTAAAATCCATGAGGACAGGGACAATATATAGGTCAGTGTGTGTAGTGGCATTTCAATTGTATTTTAATAAAGAAAAACTGCCTGAAAAACTGAGAGTCAAACAGTCCCACTGGTCAGCCTTACAGACCAGGTTATGGTGGTAACACACACTTGAATCCCAGTAACCACAATGCCACACTAGTTGCCATAGAAAGCTGATGGTGCACGCCTTTAATCCCAGCCCTAGAGAGGATTATAAAACGGGAGGAAAGAGCTCTCAAAACAATCTCATTCTGAGATTCCGTGAGGCAGGATTGCCATTTCAGTCTGAGGTCGAGGTAAGAGCCGGTGGCTGGCTGTTTTGCTTTTCAGATCTTCAGGATGAACCGCAATCTCTCTCTCTCAGTTTTTATTGATCATGCTTCAAGTGCTCACTTCCAAGTCCAGCGACACCTAGCCAATAACTCACATTCCCCCCACCCCACCCCCCACATCGCAAACACAAAAGTACTTGATATAAGTAAGCTTGCTACATCCTTTGGTAGAATTATCATGATGTACACTTCGTAAGAGAAGGAAACAAAGAGGCCTGAAGCTTGACACAAATGCCATTGGTTGAACGGAGCTCCTCAGGCCTAGCATTGGGTCACTAGACTCATTAGAAGGTGATCTTAGTAAACGTCGACTCTACAGGGAGGAAATACAACCTGCCAAACCTGAGGACATGATGGCGGAAGATGGCTGGATTTAAACTCCTTTACAACCCAGGTAAAGGCCCCCGCCCGCAACGACAAGCGCGGAAATTCCGAAGGGGCGGGGCGATCTCGTGTGGTGGGCGGGGCCACCGCTGATTGGCTAGATCCAGGCGGAAGTCGGGAGGTTCGAGGGTCCGAAGACGCCAGCTTGTGACGGGGAGGGGGAGGAGGAAGGCTTCCGTAAAAGGTGCCTTTCGGTCCCTTCGCTCCCGGAGACCCTCGGAAAACGCCCACCATACCGACCCCGCGGCTAACCCCTCCCTCAGGCTCTCTCCGCTTGATTTCGCACCGTTATGTGGGAAGCGAATCCGGTGAGTAGCCGGCGGGACGGGGCGGGCCCAGTGGGCGGGGTTGCCTGAGAGGTGCGGGAGGCGTTCCTGGGAACTCGCCCCCGCGCTGCCTCGGGCTCGGGGTTTGCGTTCCGGGTCGCGGACGTCCTGGGTCTCGGGCCTCCTGCAGGCCTCGGTACCGTGGCTTTGAACGGTGGGAACGTTCCATGGCCGCTTCCACGTTTTTGCTTTTCATTTTCCGATTGTTGATTTTACTTCCGGGGGCTTCTCCGTCTTCGCTTTTTCTTTTATTATTATTATTATTTATTTATTTTTTGTATTTTGATTTCTATTTGGAATTACTGGCTTTCGAACCTGCTAATTTGTTTCGGCCCCGCACCCTCATTGCTGCTTCTCCTTTTTTTTTTTTTTTTTTTTTTTGGAGCTACAGAGGTTTCAGATCCTCTTTATGCACGGAGTCTCAGTGGATGGCGTTCTAGGATGTTTTCTTTCCGTGGTTAGAACAATGATCTGGAATCCTTTGTTTGCCTTCAGTAGTTCCTATGCCTGCAGGCATTTTTATTTTTGCTACTTTGCCTTCATTCATTCATTCAAACTCCAACGCCACGCATACGGATATGTCAAGAATATTCAGCTCTTGTTATGGGAATATAGTAGTGAGAAAACTATACACTGACGTCAGAACTTCGCAGTTGACTGGCAGAATCGCATTTCAAGAAATCTGTGGACTTCCTATGTGAAACTACCCCAGAGGCTGGGCTAACCAACCATTAAGTTGACTTTTAATAACTCCCACTGTCTATACTTGAAATAACCCTCTTCCTGATTCTGGAATGTATCTCCAGTTATGTCTATCAGAAAATTCCCCGATGTTTTAAAGTTCGTACCCAGTAGTAATGAGCCCATTGATTGGGATTCGGGTGCATATGTGATTCCATCCCATCATGGCAGCCATCAGATGTTTTTGTTTTGTACATTAGAATACTGTCATCAGTTTGGGTCAGAGGAAGGTACTTGTTTGAATATGATTTTAGCCAAACCTTTAGCATTGGGATAAAACTAGCTTATAGATGTTCATATACTCTTTTACGGTTAACTATTAACATTTCTTCAGTTTTATATCTGTATCCATTTCTATACGTGCATATATGGATAAGGAGTCGGTTTTTATTAGTAGCCCCTTTCTATTGATTTCCCACAAATACCTGTCACCGGTATGGTTTAAGGTCACCTGCTATAAACCTTCTGAGTTATCTCTTTGTGAACGTGAAATGTATATTCAACTAGAGGACAGATCCTGTTGCGTGACAAATACTTGTTAAGTTCTTGACAGTGACTGGCTCAGTAATGCAGTCTGAGGCCTCTGCCTACCCTGTTCATCTTTCCTTCTGGGTCACACTTAGGTTTCCACCATTGGGCCAGTTATACTTTGGGGAGAATTACAAAGGATCTAGTGAATGACTCCTGTATTTGGTTTGTTATGTCACTATTTCTTTGTAATAAAAAAAGGCCCAGTTTTCTGTGGAATCATATGTAAGTCTTAAGTTTTGCCCAGCAAGTTGACTTTTGTCAATCATAATGAACATACAGCCTTGGGTTCTTTTTTTGGCCCCTCTGCCACTTACATGGCTGAGTGCTGTTGTGTTTTATTACCTGCTGGTACTGTTTTTGTTTGTTTCTTTTTGTTTTTGTTTTTTCCTTTTCTTGTGAACACCTGAATGTTGTCAACAGGCACAGTGTTTTATTATATGTATAGGGGTGTTTTGACTTCATGTATGTTTGTACAACACATTCATGTAATGCCCCCAGAAGAGGGTATTGGATCCCCTGGAACATGGAGTGCCCTGTGGGTGCTGGGAAGCAAACCCGGGTCCTCTGGAAGAGAATCCAGTGTCTTAACCATAGAGCCATCTTTCCAGCCCCCACCACTTAGCTTTTATTTTATTTCATTTTTATTTTAAGTAAATTTTACATTTATGGGTTCCACTGATACCTGTGAGTTTCTTGAGACAGAAGCAGTATCTGCATAGCTTGTCTAGCTTTGCCAGGGAATAAAATTATCACCCTAAGCCATGCACATCTGGGAAGATTTAAAATCCAAGTAGAAGAGGATAACAAACCCCCAACCACAGTGTACTTAAATATCAGTGTGGATAGCATTCGCATTCCTGACCGAATTCTTTCTGAATGAGGGAAGGTTTTGTTAAATGATGGTGAACTGATTTTGTCTGGTTTCCCCTTGTTTTGATGGTCTCCATGGCCTTAAAGGTGAAGCCTGTGACCTGAAAATGATACTCCTCTTCCTCCTATGGGAAAATGGCTGCTTTGTGAAAACTGCTTCCCAAATGTTCTAAGCATCATGGAATAGTACTGCAGATTTTGCAGTATTTCCTGGACCCCAGGGGGGACAACCCAGAATGAATACCTAAGAAGAGGTAAACAAGTGTTACCCCCTTTTACTCGTCTACTTTGAATACAACATAATGTCTGCATTGCTTTGTTTTGCCCTTCTGCCCAGGCAGGTCATGTTGACAGGGGCAGCAGGCAATTCTGTGAGCTCTTGGTATCATAGGAAGAAGGAGTCATTTACAAAAATGGCAGCCTAAAGGAAAAGTTAGAGGGTTGCTGTCGCTGCTTTGACTCTGAACCCTGACCCTGTCCTTCCTTTCTCAGCTGTTTATCTGCGTCTTCTCTCTTTGCTGGGAATGGAGTAAATATTTCCCTGGAATTGTTAGTCAAGAGCAGGGTTCTGTCACATAGATGAAGAGGATTGAAAAGTAACACATTTGTTTGAGAGTTGTCTTAGTGAGAGTGAGAGTTCTATTTCTGTAAAGAGACACCCTGACCACGGCAACTCTTGGGAAGGAAAGCATTTAATTGGGACTGACTTTACAGAGGTTTAGTCCATCTAGTCCATAGCAGGAAGTGTGGAGGTGCACAGACAGACATATTACTGGAGAAGGAGAGTTCTAAATCCGAATGAGCAGGCAGCAGGAAGAGACAGACACACTGGGTCTGTCTTGAACATCTGAAACCTCAGAGTTCACCCCCATGACACACTTCCTCCAGCAAGGCCACACCTACTCCAACAAGACCACCGCCTAGTAGTGCTCCTCAGAATGAGCATGTTTTCATTCAGATTACTGCAAGAGTACACTGTTTATTACACTGGCAATGTATTTATAGAAGTTGTTAAATTCTTCCAAAAGTCATTTCTGTTTATTGATTCATGTTGTCAGAATAATCTGAGTTGGCTCAGGGAGAGCAAACGGTTTTCCCAGAATGATGCCACAGTTGTCTTCAGAGCTAAGCCCTCTTTCTGTTCCATCTTGATCCCAGAACAGTGCTGGCTTTCAGATGTCAGTCCCTACTTTGTCTGCAGAGCCACCTTTTCTCTGTCACTTTTTATTCACAACTGCTTCTCACTTCCTTGGAACTGTGATTTTTGTCTCTCTCCTGTCAGTCTGCTTGAGAGAATGACTACTTACTTGTCATTCTTAGCCATAGTCCATTCCTGCAGTCTGGCTTCTGTCAACACTGCTTTCCAGGAAGTCTCCAAGAATCTCTGAATTACCACATACAGTGGTACCCTAGGTACCTTAGGTTGATTCAGCAACTTGGATGCCAATTACAGATTTCCCTTCAAACCTTCCTTTTCATTGTTCCCGGTACTGTATCCTCACTGATTTTCTTCTATTTTCCCTTTTTATTTTCATTTCATTTATTTTTTATTTATTGTGTGAATGCATGCACACACATACCATGGTACAATAAAATATCAGAGGAGTCATTTCTCTCCCCTGACCATGTATGTGACTTCTGGGGATTGAACTCAGATTGTCAGGCATGGTGGCCTTTACTGACAGAGCCATCCTGTCCTTTTCTGAGATTTGTTTTCAGTTATAGTTCTGGGCTAAGCTGCATGCCCTCCTGAAACTTCCCATCTTTGATTTTTTTTTTCTTTAGCACATCCTTTTTGGCAAGCTCTGAGGCTATTCTGTGAACATGCCTGCTTAGGGTCATCTTTAGTCTTGACCCCTCTCACTGCTTGTCCCTTTGATGGAACTAAATCCTTGGTCACTGGTTCATTTCACCCAGCAAGTCCTCAGGAAGTGTTTCCTACTTACTAAGCATGGTTCTGACACTTGAAGAGAGGAGTGCAAACATGAACTGAGTCAGAGCCTGTCTGCCCCATGAGGTCACTCACTGGATGCAGTGTGACTTGTAAGAAGAAGGTGGGATCTGAGGGTGACTGGCATGCTGGGAAGACCTGTTGAAGTAACTGACATGAGAAGACCAAAGCAGACAAAGTGACCCAAGCCCATGAAATGGAGCGTGGATGTCAGATACTGAGACATGGAGGAAGTACTTCCAAGACTAAAGATGGAGGGGTTGTCCTAGTCACCTTTCTACTGCTGTGAAGAGATACCATGAACAAGGCAACTCTACAAAAGAAAGCAGTCGTTTGGGGGCTTGCTTACAGTTTCAGAGGTTTAGTTCATTTTTATCATGGTCGGGAATTTGGTGGCATATAAGCAGGTGATGGAGCAGTAGCTCAGATTTTACATCCTGAAATGTAGGTGGGTGGAGACACAGTTCTCACAACTCCAACAAGGCCATACTTCCTAATCTGTCTTAACCTTTTCAAACATTCCACTCCTTGCTGACTAAGCATTCAAGATAGCATGGTCTGTCACAGTCTTAACACTGTGTCAAACCCTGTGATACTAATACTCATGTTTCTAGAACATTTTTTTTTAGTGATCTGTCTCATGATCATGAATAGTGTATCTCATGATCATGGTGTGTCTGCCCTAGGATTGATGTGGCAGATTCAGCACAGCACCAGAGAAATGAGTCTGACAGTTCTCAGTGTAGGGATGATGTGAGGAGTCCTTCTGTATATGTGTTGCTTTTATTGGTTAATGAATAAAGAAGCTTATTGGGCCTACAGCAGGGCAGAATAGAGCTAGCCGGGAAAACTAAACTGAACGCTAGGAGAAAGTAGGCAGAGTCAGAGA